GGTGAGAGGGGGTGGTTAGGCTGTGACCTGGGCAATGGTGGGGAGGGTGGTGGGGTTGCGGCTTTGGAGTCCCATCTCTTCCTTTCTCACACCGGGAGGGTTAAAGTGGCCACAGCTCAGGCGTGAGTAACCTGGAGGTGGCTAAGGACTTGGCCCCAGGCCGTCAGCATCTGTCCTAGTGCTGGGAAGCGGAGGTCAAGCTCAACCTCTGAGCTCGTCTGCTAACCCTGGCCTGACCTGGCCCCTGTCAACTCTCCCGTGGACAACAGCACCAACTAGGTGGCCAGAGCCCCAGTGCCACCTCTGTCACCCTGGCTTGAGGCCTCGCTGGGTCTGGGCCCACCCCCTCTTCTCCTCAGGGTCCTCCCAGCTGCCCACTCGCCCCCTTGGCCTGGGGGTCTGAAGCCCGTGGAGCAGGTTTCCATCTGGAGCTTTGCGGGGCACCCCAGTCCCTGCCTTCCGCTGGCTCCCCTCCATGATCAAGCCCTCCGGTCACAGATGGTCTGAGGGTGCCATCTGCGCTGGAGGACAGCTGTAGTCTCGCCAGCCCACTGGCCACCTGGCCCACCTTGAACAGGCACAGATCCTGACCACCGCCCTTGGGAACAGGGAAAACAGTGCTCGGGGATGTGGGAGGGTGCGGCGGGACGGGGGTGCTGGACGGGGCCTGACCCCAACACTTGCCGGAAGTCTGCAGTCCCTCCTCTTCCAGAACCGCTGGCTTGAGGTGGCAGCAGGGGTGGGGAGGGCGTGAGGAGAGTGGACTGGGGACCCTGCCCTGGGCTCACCTCCGTCTATCCCCAGCCCAGCCACCCGCAACCCCACCCCCAGCCCTGTCCATCCCCAAGCCCCCGCCCCCGCCCCTCGCAACTCCTCTCCCTGCGTTAATCCTGCTCACTGCTGACCCAAGCAAAACGGAGTCGGCTTTCTCCCTTCTCCGCAGTTTTCTGTTGGCAAAGCAGAAAGGATGGCACAGCAGGCTCAGCTCAGCCGCCTGCCTGGGGACCACTCTGGAAATGAAGTATTGCTGCGAGGGACCCAGCACCCGGGCAGGATGCACACGCCGTCCCTGCGCACATGCGGTCCCAGGCGCCATCGATCCCTGTGCTGCCCCTCATCCGTCATGGGCCCTGGCTCTGTCCGGGCATGGGGAGCGAGGCAGGTTCACGCCGTGGCCTCAGCAGCTCCTGGACGCGGGCCCCGCCCTCCCTGGCAACACTGCCCCACGCCGTCCCGTCTGTGCTCTCATGGATTGGTGCTGTCCTTGCCCTTGACCCATGTGTGACACAGTGACCCAAGTGACATGGCTGGGCCAGAAGGCGGGGCTAAGGCCATGCAAAGGGTGTGGCCGAGCCAGGCCGTCCGAGGAAGGGACACTAACCAATCCCTAAAGGCCAACATGGCGCTGGCCAGCAATGCCCAAGAACGAGCAAGCAGAACCTCAGGGGAGGAGAACGGGCTCCACAGGGCACAGTTGAGGTGCAGAGGGGCAGACGAGCACCAACACATGCATCTGTGTGGACAGCTGTACCCACTGGGAGGCACAGCCTTCGGACCAAGTGCTCCCCAGCAGTCAGCCCTGCCTTCCCCCAGCCTCAAAGCCCCACCCTGATCCAGCTTGCTCCCAACCTGGGCAGGTGGGACGGGACCCTGAGCTGCTGCCTCCTGCTAGGGCAGGTTCAGCACAGGTGCCCTCTGTGTGCTGGCCCCAGGGCCTGCTGCCCCCTGGAGGGGCACAGGCCACAGCTGGCCACGGGGATGTAGCTGCAGGTCCTGCCAGGCCTGGCATCATGCCTTTGACCGGTCCCCAGGTCTCTTAGAGCCGTGGTGACTGACACCCCCTCCTGTAGCTGCCTGTGTGGACTTGGAGTCCTCGGGGGGCTGGACTGGGCAGTCCACCCAGGGCGTCCAGCAATCAGCCACCAGCTGCTGCGAGAATGAGGAAGGGGCATGGTCCCTTCCCGAAGCCCAGGGGCTGTCTGGCAGGACTCCCACAGTGGCTGGAGTGGCATGGTTCAGAACGGAAAGTTCTGGAGAGGGGCTCACTGCTGCCCTAGGAGCAGTCCCAAGTGGAAGGGGGGGAGGAGGACCCCCGTCCAGCCCTGCCTTGACTACAGCTCTAGGCCCCAGACCCCAAGACCTTTGCCCTCTCTCCCCAGGGGGCAGCAGGACCTCAGGGCCTCCCGCATCTCCCCTCCCCCAAAGCAGGCAGTGGGGCCTCAGGGCCTCCTGCATCCCCACAGCACCCCCATGCCCCGGGCTTCCCCCACTTCACAGACGGACAGAGATGGTGACGGGAGCCAGTCCCAACCACGTGTGACTCCAACTGTGAGGCCCCTGCCTTTCTGCCAAGGGACAGGATGACAACAGCCAGTCCCAAGGGAGACCCATGAGGGGCATCAGGGGACGGGACGGCCTGGGGTGGAGAAGGGCCAGGAGCACAGGCCCAGCCTTGGTGGCAGCCAGGGAAGAGGCGTGTATGGGCAGGGGCTGGATGGGTGGGGCGCACCCCAAGGGTCTGAGGTAGGGAGAGCCCCCTCTGCCAGCCTGTGGTGGCCCAGCACCCACCTTGCAGGAGGCAGGGGGCAGCTTTGGCCCCACCTTGGGTCTGGACAGGCCACAGGAGATGGGGAATCCCTGCACCTCCCAGACAGGGCTGCCATGCTGTCACCCCCAATTAGCGCCTAATGGCCTCCTCGACGAAGTTTTATTAATCAAATTAATACATATTGGGAAGACCTTCATGACCTTGGATCATTCTGCTGAGACAAGGATTTTCCCAGGAGGGCAGGGGAGGGAAAGGGATACACCTGGACCCCCACCTTGGCTCAGGCAGGCTGGGGAGCCCCACCCTCCTGCCCAGGAAGATGGCACCGTGGCGTCTGTGTCTCTGGGTCCTCCCCACACCCCACTGGCACCCCATTTTCCTGGCTGAAGCACAAGGGAGGTAGCAGTGCAGGGTCCTGTCCTGGAATTGAAGCCTGGCACACAGGGCGGGCTGCTCCCACCTGGAGGACCCTTGGAAGGGCCTGGACGAGCAGGCAGGGGTCTTGTAGTGCTGGGGGCTACCTTGCCACCCAGGGTCTGCGGCTTGGCCCTCCCAAGCTGCACCTGCCCGTGCTGCCTCTCGGGGCTAAGCGGGTGGTGGCTGCCCCCTGGTGGCTTCAGGAATGACTCCCGCCAGCCCTGTCCCTTCTGGAACCTGCTGGGCCCTGGGGCCCTGCTCTGTGGCGTCTCTTGGGTGCAGCTCAGGCCTGCCCTGCCCTGCAGCCTTTCCCATCCCCTCCCTCTGGAAGCCCAGGCCTGAGCCCACTGCTGTCCTGGGGGTGGCATTCCTGCTGATGACCTTTGTCCACCCAGTGTACAGAGGCCTGGGGGCAGTCCCCACTTCCCCTGCTTGAGACACTGAGAACTCACAGCCCGTGGAGGCCAGCAGGAGGAGCCAGGCAGGCTGGGGGCCTGTGCTGGCCCCAGGATCAGGGAGAGGTGACATGCCCAGGAGCTGAGGGTGGCACCCATGCTAAGAGCAGGACAGCAGGGCGGGCAGCAGGTCTGGCAGCTGAGGGCTGCCATGAGACCTGGGCCCTGACACCAGGGACTCTTGGCAAAGGGGACACTTGCTGGGTTAATCAGCACAGAGCACAGAGGTCGGGGGTCCCCTGCTCTGTACAGCTTGACTACAGCTCTAGGCCCCAGACCCCAAGACCTTTGCCCTCTCTCCCCAGGGGGCAGCAGGACCTCAGGGCCTCCCGCATCTCCCCTCCCCCACAGCAGGCAGTGGGGCCTCAGGGCCTCCTGCATCCCCACAGCACCCCCATGCCCAGACGGGACAACGGGAGGTATTTCAGGGGAGGCCTTGGCTGGGACCCTGCCTAGAGGTCTGTGGGTGCCATGGACACACTTGGCTGCTGCATGGCAGAGGAGCAGGGAGCAAAGGGGTGCCCAGCAGTAGTCGCTGTGCACCAGGCAGAAGCTTGGCTGGAGGCAGGACTGACACCTCAGGGTCTGTGCCCAGGGCAGCAGCAGGTGGACAGAGCCTGGGGGTACAGAGGGGAGGCTGTGAGGAGCCCCCAGGGCAGGTCAGCCCCAGGAAGCTGACCTCAGATCGGCAGAGGGACTGGCACCCTTCCTGTGTATGGGTGAAGTGGCCACGGCTCCCGTCACTGGGCTCAGACAGGTCTGACCATTGTCTTTAATGGGCAGGAAGGTGCCTGGGGCAACCTCCGGCACAGGGCAAAGCAGGCACTGCCTGCAGGCCCTCTGGGTGGGGGAGTGCTTGATGCTTCCCACCAGCTGGAGCCAGAGCTGGGGTGTGTGGGGAGCCGCGCCCTCACAGCTGCCCTGGGAGCTCCGAGGGTGAGGGTGGAGCCGTCTTCGCTGGGGCGCCGGGCTGTGAGCAGCCTCCAGTCTTGCCCTGTTGGGTCTTTCGGCTCCAGCCGAGGAGGGGCCGGGGGCTGGCCCTTGTGGATGCCGGGGTCTTGCAACCATGCTCCCTCTGGCTCCTCAGAAGCCCCTTGGGGCCCAGCAGGGCGGGCCGGCGGTCCCCCTACAGCAGGGACAGAGACTGCGGTCAGCCACTGCCGCCCGTCCCTACCTGCAGCCAGTCTGGGAGGAGGCGAGGACCCCCTGGGTGGGGCCGGCACGTCATGAAACTGTTTGGGGGCTCCCATCAGGACAGCCACATAGCAGGGGCCCATGGGTTTCACCCAGCCCTGGGTCAGCCATGCTCTGGGATGGAGCGCCAGACCCAGAAGCCTCCAGCCTGAGGATACAGAGGCTGAGGGAGGAGTGAGCTGCAGCACCCTCGGGGCAGAGCAGTGCCCCCAGGTGGAGGCCAAAGTACAGGTGGCCCCTACCCAGGAGCCCCCCAGGGGAGGGTTGCCTGTCTCCCTGCCTCCCCTTCCTAATGCTGCTCAAGCATCCGGGGCAGGCCCAGGGCCAGGGTGGGGACAGCAGGGTGGGGATTGCTCCTCAGGGCCCTGGGGCTCACCAGGCAGGGCAGGCCAGAGCTGGGCAGCAGCGACACCACCTGCAGGCTGGCACCTGCGTCTCCCGAAGCCCTCAGCTCCGCCACCACCTCCGCGTGCCTCCACCAGCGGCACGGCTGCCCGTTCACCGCCACGATGTAGTCACCCTCCTTCAGGCCTGCCGCCTGCGGGGAGACTTGGACAGTGAGACAGGGACATCATACCCTGGCGGGCACCAGGGACTCCACCTCAGGGACCGGAGGGGCCCTTACCGCAGCCTGGCCCCCCGGAATGACGGCAGCAATGAGGACAGGCGAGTCTCCCCGAAGTGTGAGACCGAAGCCGCCCTCTCCTCGGGTCAGGTGGATGGGGCCCACCAGCCGCCACCGGTTCTTGGCTGAGAACACAGACAGGGGCCCCTGGCGGGGCTCAGAGGTCAGAGGAGACCCTGCCTGGCCAGCACCCCCGCCCAACCTGAGCACCGAGGGACACCGAGGGTTCCACGAGGCAGGCCAGGCAGACCTCGACCACCAACAAAGGCCTGAGGCCACGTGCTGGTCAGAGCCACGTAGCCCAAGCTGCCAGTGCTGGAGGGCACCTGGGGACAGGTGTGCTCACCAGCCGATGGAAGATGTCAGGCCCCTTCCCCTGGGACAGGTGCGGCATCCTGGCCTCTGGCTTCTGGCGGGTCTTAGCTGAGAGGGCGGGAAGAAGAGCAGAGCTAAGCTGGAAGCCTGTGGGCACCAGCCCCTGGAATTTGCCAGGCCACAGGGCATGACCTCGAGCAGACACAGGCCCTGCCTCTGACCTCTAGGCCTGGCCACTCTGCAATGCTGGGAGGAGCGCGCCAGGTGCCCTGAACACACGATCTCCCTGCCCAAGTGGCTCCAGAAGCCCTCCCTGGAGTCAGCCATGCCTGCCCGGGCCTGTGGGCTTCCCCTCAGGGCAGAGGCTGGGGTGGGGAGGGAGATGCTGAGGAGCATGGTTGGCCCCTGGTCCCCTGCAGGGCCAGGCAGCTCTGCGGGCCCTCGAGATCACCGCCTGGAAAGTGCCACTGTGATTTAATTCACTGTGGTGACCGCGTCTTTAATGCAATCAGCCTCCTTTTCTCCAGGGTGAAGGCCCCCACCCCAGCCGGGGATGCAGCCGCCCAGACAGGCCCTGGCTGCTCACGCCGGATGTCGGGGGCCTCCGCCGTCTCACAGAAGTCATCCTCGCAGTCGAGTTCTGAGTACTTGGCCAGTGAACGCTGCAGCGCCTGGGCGACCACGGCCCGCAGCAGGTCCACCTCCCGCAGGACACGGCACAGTGTGTGCAGCCGCAGCGCCTCCTCCTGCCCCAGGATGGCGCGCTTCAGGTGCGCCTTGCCTGCACCGGGCACAGCGCTGTCACACACCATGTGGGCCCGAGGGCCCCAGGGCTTGGCAGGAGGAGTGGGCAAGGCCAGGGCTGCAGGGCTCATCACAGCCACGTTCACTGTGGGCCTGAGCCATGGGGCGAGGGGCTGGCTGTGCTGGAGGGCTCTGCCAGGTGCAAAGAGGGGGCCAGGGATGGGCGAGCTGCTCCCAGTGGTGGCCCACCTGCTCATGGCTGCCTGGGGCTCCTGTGCTGGGCCGCCACCCATCAGGCACAGGGCATCCAGGGATAGGTCGGCGGCCTCCCCATCCGCATGGGACGGCAGGTGGCAAAGAGCATGAGGGCGGTGTGGGATGCGCTGCTGCTATTGGTGGCCACCTGAGCCCCCAGGGCATTCCATGCACAGATGCCTTACCAAGCTTCCTGCGCTCCTCCAGCTCCAGTGGCAGTGCGGGGCCTCGGGGCTCAGAGGAGGCGTGGGGCTGGAGGAAGACCTGCTCGTGTGCGGGGAGCTCTCCCTCGGTCGCTGCTGGGGGACAGAGAGGCCATGAGGCCCGGGCAGGGGCCTCTGCAGCACCACAGGCAGGCGGGGCAGGCACTCACGGGAGCTGTCGCAGAGGGCCATGGCTATGTGGTAGTGGGCCAGGGAGCAGAAGTACTCAGCCTTGACATGCACCAGGGTGATCCAGGAGGCGGGCACGTAGTCGTGGACGGGGGGCTGGGCCATGGTCCGGTGCACGAGCCTGTACTCGGCTGCCACCTGCCGTGGACATGGAGGGCACTCGAGGGCCTCCTGCTCTCCGGGTGGTGGCTGCCTCTGCCCACTGGCCTCCACCTGCTCTGACCAACACCCCAGCAGCCTCTCCAGCACCCCAGTTCCTGCTGCCTCATGCCGTCCCCTTGAGCAGAGGCTCCAGCCCCACAGAAGCGAGGCAGATCTCACGCCTGCCTGGACCCCAGCTCTGACCCCAACTCGGCCCCACCCCCTGCACCCTGACAAGGGTGCTGTGAGCTCACCTGGGCAGCCTCCTGTGCCAGGTGCAGCTGGGCCAGGCAGTCGCAGGGAGCCATGGAGGCAGGTGGCAAGAGGCCCTCAAACACACATTCCTGGGCCTGGGCCATCATGAGCTGCTCCAGGGCGCAGAGGGATGCAGCATTCATGTCTGGGCTTGGCGCATGTGAGAAGTTCTCCCTCAGGAGGCTGAAGGCCCCTGCAGACAGAGTGAGGGAGGGTGCTCACACGCAGGCCCTGCACCTGCCTCTCTCTGCCCCACGTGGCACTCAGGGTGGCCAGCCAGGGCTGGTCCAGGGACAAGGTGGGCCCAATGTGCTCACTCAGCCCCCTTACCTGAGGGACTGACGTCCTAGCCACCCCCAGCTCCTGGCCCGCAGAAGGGGCTCTGTGGTACCCTGGCACTGAACCCTGCCCCACCGCGGCCCAGGCTGCCCTCACCAGCGGCCCTCTGGAAGGCCTCCACGGCGCAGTGGACACCCTCGACGCAGGTGCGGTCCTGGCGCGCCCCGATCTGCGTGTGTAGGGCACCAATGTTGAAAAGCACGCTGCCCTTCTCGAAGGCCAGGGCACGCTGCTGGGCCGGGACCCCAGTGAGCGAGTCATACCTGCAGTGCGGGGTCAGGCTGGGTGGAGTTCCCGTGGCGTGGCAGCCAGGCCTCCCCTCCCCAGGGCACCACTGCCTGCAGTCCCTACCACTGGAAGAAGAGCCCAAGGCTCCTGGCGGGGGTGAGGAAGCGTGCATCCAGGAGGCACAGCTGGTGGTAGTAGGTGGTGAGCAGCTCCAGGCCCGCCTCGTTCCGGCTGGGAGTCCGCATGGCCTGCGGGGCAGGAGCCACTGGGCCCCACCGCCCGGCCCACCCCACTCACACACCACTCTGGGGAGCCCCTGTGGGCATCAGCACCACAGGGGGTGGGGAGGCAAAGCCAGCGGGGCCCTAGGCAGCCACAACTCCCGAAGGCCAGCAGCGTGCGGCATGGGAGCCACCTGCAGGCCCCTCCACGCCCCCCAGCTGTGTCTCCCACGTCCCTGAGACATCCACACTGAGCTCTGCCTTCTGTTCCTGACTGAGGCCTGTCCTCAGCCTCTGCTTGTGTCTCCCGGGGCTGCAGGAGGGCAGGCGGGGAACCACACACCTGCCGAAGGGCCTCCAGCTCCCTGATTTCTGCTTCATAGGAGGTGCCGTCCTCTCCGAAGTGCACCGAGATCAGCTCCTGATGGGGGGCAGGTGTTGGCGTCCGCCCTGTGCCTGGCCTCCTTCCCTGGGGTCTCCCAGCCCACCTTGGGGAAAGACTCATGGTGGAGGGAGGGTCCATGTTGCAGAGCAGGCCGGCTGCCATGTAGGACCGGGGCCCTGGGCCCTGGCCCCTCAGAAGCCCCAGAGAAGGGCTGGGGGCCGATGTGTCCGGATGGACTCTGTGGGCTGATGCGGGTCAGAGCCCCTCTGGCCCTGGGACTCCCCCAGCCCATCACAGAAGTGGAGCCTGGAGACTCAGCGCCACTTTTATGCGCATTTCCTTATTCATCCCTGTGGCTCGGAGGCCAGGACCCGTCTGCCACTCAGTGACTCGCATGCTGAACAGTCAGTGGCTCCCACAGGCCCCTGACAGGCAATGCCAGTCTGTTTTGGGGTCTGAGCCCTTTCCAAGGCCCTCGTGGGCCAGTGCTAGGCGTGTGGCCCTGAGCCAATGGTGGTCTCCATGGGCGAGCCTGGGTCCCGTGCCCCTTCTTGGGTTTCCAGGCCCCATGGTCCTAGGGCATTGCCCGTCTGAGGGCAGGGCATGTGTTTGCACCCTCTCTATGGGATCAGCCCTGGCCTGGGGCGCAGGCACCACTGTGGGCCATGAACGAAGCAGAGGCTGGGTCCCTGGCCATGTATGCCAGGTCCCTGGTGTCCCTTTCACCCTTCCTCTGGGCCTTAGTTTCCCTATCTGTTCGATGAGATGGCTGGACCAGGAAGCTTCCAAGATCTCCTGGGTCCCAGGGCAGGGCCATGCCCCTTAGAGCTTGCAGGTCAGTGCGTACCTTCAGCGGTGTAGACCAGTCCAGCTCCTTGGTCTCCTTCAGGCCCAGAGGTATCATGGGGACAGTGACAGCTTCGCTACAACCAGAAGCATTGATTCCAGACTGTAAGGCTGAGCCCTGCTGGCCTCGGCAGCCCGGGTCCACTCCCAGGGCTCTGTGGCACGGTGTGCATCCCTCCCTCAGGATCCACATGTGCATCTGCCCTGGGGGGTGTTTTTGCAGCTCCTGGGGGGGGGGCTGCGTACCCCCCACCATCCTAAACCGCTCCTGAGGGGCACGGGCACCTGCAAGTCCCCCTCCACTGTCCTAAACCGCTCCCGAAGTGCACGCACACTCGCGGTCCTGGCCCCATCCGCACCTCCCATGCCGGCCAGAGTCCACGCCGCCGCTGAGCTCCTCCAGCTCCTCCTTCAGCAGCTGCAGGTGGGAGTTAACGTAGCTCAACTCCAGGGCGACCGTCTCTCTCACCCGGCTGTTGCTGGTGGCTCTGAGGGAGGCCGGGCAGTTGAAAGCCCAGCCCCAGGGCAGAGCCAAAGGCCCCGTGCCCACCGCAGCCCTCCGGCCAGCTACCTGTCAAGAGCTCACCCCACAGAGGGATGTTGCTGGCGGGGTCCGCCCCTCATGGGTGGGGCAGGGGCGAAGCAGGATCCGGGGGCTCACAGGTGATGCCTCCTACAATTCATCATCCCTGACCCCAGCCCCTGCATGTCCTGACTCCAGCCTGGGGGCACTTCCCTCAGCGCCCCAGCTTTCTTTGGGGCTCATACAGCCCTCCACAGCACTCAAACACAACTTCCTTGGATGGTGGGCAAGAGCCAGACCCCTCTCTGTGCCTGCATCAGGACCTGGCAAAGGGACCAGGGGTCCCCAAGGAAGGCCAGGATGGGGGCAGGGAGGCAGCAGGCACTGAGGGGCACTCACACATAGGCGAGGCTCACAGGTGGCGTGCTCCAAGGAAGAGGAGCGGGTCTTCCACCCCTTCCCAAGTCCCCAACCTTGGGACGTGACATCACCTGCCACAGCTCAGCCTCAACCATGCCTCTTCTGAGAAGCCCCCACGTGCACTGCTGGGGGCTCCCATGCTGCACACCCAGGGGGACACCGGTTCCCTGGCCCCTCCAGCCCAGCACAGAGGCCCATGGAGGCCTCTGTGACCCACTGTGGGGTAGACACCTACCTGGGTGGCTGCTCTGCCACCCTCACCCAGGTGGGCTTTGCTCGGGGCCCGGGGGCCTTGAGCACTCACCTGTAGAGGTTCTCAGCGCCCGTCCGCATCTGCAGCTCCTTGTCGATCTGCTGGTAAATCCAGGCCCTGCGGCTCTGCAGCTGGCCACGCTGTGTCTGTGTCAGGGAGTCATGGCCCTGCAGGGAGGCCACAGGCAATCACAGCCCTGACCCCGGGGGACCCCCACAAGCCACGGAGAGGAGTGTGGCCTGCCCGAGGCTAACGGGGTGGTCACTATGGGCTGGAGCTGGGGCTGGCCTCACAGGGAGGGACCAGACAGGGCCAGTGTGAACACAGGACCCGGCCAGATCAGTCAGTGCAGAACGACGTGGTGGTGGGGGATGCTGCGGATTGTGATGGGGGTCGGGGGGAGGCTGGCACCTGACAAGGACACCCCAGGGTCTCACCAGGCAGCCTGGACAAGCAGGGGCTCCAGGAGCCCTGAAGGAGGTGACTTGCTGCTCCACACATCCTTCCTCCTGCACTTCCAGCTTTCATTCTGGATCTCCCCTTCCCCCCTCCCCCAATTTTCTTCCATCTAACTCACCCATGCCTCCCAATTGTTCTGTGCAGGTTTAGGTGTGGGCACAAAGGACGGGGTCACCGAGGCTCTGGGGGCAGCCATCGGACCCCAGCAGCTGGTGCAGCGGCTGCGGTCCGACTTTGGGGATGGTTCTCAAAGTGAACACACACCGTGCATCCACCGTGCAGAGTCCTTTCCCATCCACACAGAAGGGACTCTGAGCCTCGAACCCATAGACTGCATCCCTGTGGCCCTACCCAGCACTGGCCATGGAGATACACAGGAGTGTGCCTGGCAGGGCCCCTTTCTGAACTTCCATGGCTCCTCTGTTTTCTGAAGTGGTGCAAATGTGTTGGGGCTTAAATTTCTCTCAAGGGAGGTCCAGTTTCATGCCTCAGGCCACCCCACCCTCATGGTGTTGGGGTCCTGCCTGCGTGATCCTCACATGTCCCTCCCACCGCTCTTCCCCGTGGCCACATGGGAACACCTGGCTCTCCACCCTGACAAAGTTCTTTATGTCACCTGTGGCTGTCTCCTGCGTGGGCTCCCAGGCTCAGAGTGGCTGGTTTGCCTATCCAGCACCCACTTCTTCCATACTTTGAGACCCACAATGCTGCTAAGGACAGTGACTCTCACCCAGCCCTGGGGCGAATCTGGTCTGTGTCAGGTGTGGCCATCCTGGCCACGTCTGCCAATCAGCAGCAAGACAAGGCCTCTGGTGGCTCCTGGGACTGCTTCTCACCCTTGTTGGGGAACAGGAACCCACGCCGTCCCCTAAACTCACGCCATCCCCAAATCCTTGTGCCGTCCTCTAGAACCCACGCCATCCCTCAAACCCCTGCGCCGTCCCCTAGAACCCACACCATCTGCAAACCCCTGCGCTGTCCCCTAGAACCCACGCCATCCCTCAAACCCCTGTGCCGTCCCCTAGAATCCACACCATCTCCAAACCCCTGTGCCGTCCCCTAGAACCCACACCATCTCCAAACCCCCATGCCATCCCCTAGAACCTACGCCATCCCCAAAACCCCCATGCCTGTGGTCCTCTCCTGGGAGCCCCTGTGGCCCCTGCGGGAGGGACAGCAGCTGCACTGGCCACCCTAGGCCATGACAGGCTTCTCCCATTCCCAGCTTGGCAGCCCTGACCACCTACTCACGCTGTTCCTCAGACGTGCTGAGGCCCAGGGCCTGGGAAGCAGCCATGGCAGGACTCTAGCTGCATCGCTGGAGCCCTGGGACCAGGCGAGCGCTCCCTGGACACCTGCTTTCATCATGCCGAGGGCAATCCAAGTCACCCAGACCTGTCCACAGGGCCTCAGGCCCAGGCATGGCCTATAAGTGGACAAATGACCAACCCCTGACCCACTGAACTCTGAGCATCAGGGCCAGTTTGGGGGCCAGCCTGATGGGGGTGGAACAGGCCTCACCCCAGCCTGGCCACAGGCATCAGGGAAGACTTTCCAGATCGCAGGACAGCCTGAGTGGTACGCGTGTGACACAGGGCCTGCCTCCGCCCCACGCCACCTCCCACAGGTGCCCTCCCCAGTCCCCTGATGGCAGCGCAGTTATTTCTGGATGGTGGAAGAGACGCCGCAGCCGGGAGGTGGTTGGAGACAGCTTCTCCCCGGGCAAGGGAGGGCCAGGCAAGGAGCCTGGCCACAGCCCACAGCCTGAAAAGCGTCACCTCCCGAGCCCTCTGGGACATCTTGTTTGTGCAGCTTCCCAAACATTCCACTCAAAACAACATGTGCCATCCCAGGCCACCTGCAGGCACGGCCACCCTGCCAGAGTAAGCTCACCAACGGCAGGCACAGGCTGCCTCTCTCTCCAGTGGCCAGGAGGTGCTGCAGCCTGGCGGTGGGCAGTAAGGGAGCCCTTAAGGGCTCTGCTCTGGTCAGCATCACCGGCCCAGTGACCTGCGATGGCACCGCCTCCTCCCCCAGGAGACCCGAGCCCAGACACCAAAGCTGAGTAGAGCCAGCCCAGGGACAATGCAGTCTGACGTCCCAGAGTGGAGCAGAGCTGGGTGCGATCCAAGGCTCGCCTAGAGCAAGCAGCAGGGGCAACCCTTGACTAAAAGCCCTTGGGGGGCACGGGCACTCAGCGCCTGGCAGGAGCACTGGGGCAGCCTCGAGCTGGTCCACAGGGAACAGGCAGGCTCTGGGCTGTAGAACAAGGCCCACGGACATGCCCTCTTTCCCGGGCACAGACGCAACAGGTCTCCACAGCCCTGCCTGCCCCTCCCACTTGCCCAGTCAGCCCCCAGGTTAGGGACCTCAGAAGGGGCGTAGGTTTGGGAATTGAGGAGAGACCAGGCGGGACGATCTCTCTCCATTTCCCATACCCAGGAGGCTTCCCGGCCAACTGCTACAAGTGCACCCAACGGGCACGCAGTTCCGGAGCGGGTGCAGAGGGAGGACCGAGCTAGAGAAAGAGGCTGTACAGGCCTGGAAAGGAACAGGGAGGAGGGTGTGGAGGGGGCGGTCACAGAGCCCGGCCCCACACCTGCCCAGAGGGGGCCAAGCGGAGGGAGCCCCGTCATCCGCTTCAGCGGTGAGGATGATCCAGACCTGGGCTCCCCTCATTCCTGGGCTCGCTTGAGTGGCCTGGAAGCGCCTCCGCCAAGCCCAGAGGGGGAAGGACGCAGGCTCTGGCCTCAGTTTCCCCGCCTGCGTCCAGGCCCCTCCTCCCGCCGCCGCGCCCGCCCTGCGCACCTGCAGCCGCGCACTCTTCTCGCCGGTGCCCGCGCCGTCGGGCCTCTCCTCCAGGATCATCTCCGCGCCCGCCGCGCCGGGGGTCCCCAAGGCCGCCTGCACCACCCCAGACGCGGGCTCCTCCGTGTCGCGCGGGTCCCCGACTGTCCCTCCCGGGTGGTGGCGGCCCGGCGCGGCTGGGCGGGGTGTGGGGCCGGCGTGCCCAACTGGCCGTTGCCCAATAGGCGGCAAGGCCGCTTCGACGGACAGCCAGGTCAGCCAACCAGAGCTCCAGGAAGGCGGGCTCTGGCCGACCAGCCCCGCCCTCCAGCGGGGTCCGGGAATCCGGTAACCCCTGGCAACCGCGGCCGGAACGCCGGCGCCCGTCGGCCGATTGCACTGCGCTTGCGCCGAGGCGCGTGCGGACGAGTTCGGGAAACGGAGCGAAAGTACACGGAACTTCCCGAGCGGACGGTCAGGCGGGCCTGGCTCTTCGGCGCCCTCGGCGGGGACTACAGGCGCCCGCCCGCTCGCGCCGTTCCGTCCCGTCACCCCGGCAACGGGACCCCCTCAGAGGCTGGCTCCAGAAATGTTCACAATGGGGTTTTTACAACGGTTTTGTTAGGGACAAACGCCAGTGTGAGTGCTCCGACAATGCCGGCTTTCTTCTCTGCCCGCCGAGCGGGGGCGCCGGGCCCGGCCCCAGCCCGAGCGAGGCGCGTCTGTCGGAGTCGTCCCGCTTCCAGAACCAGCTTCCAGAACCAACTTCCAGAACCCGCCTCCTTCCAGAACCAGCTTCCAGAACCCGCCTCCTTCCAGAACCAGCTTCCAGAACCCGCCTCCTTCCAGAACCTCCGTCCAC